ATACCGTAATCTCGATTCGCGCTTTTTTTACATATTTGACTCTTTCAATGCTGGCGAAGAGACTACCGACCCACAACTTGAATCAAAAGCAAATATCAACCGTTTTTGCAAAACATGAGTCCGTTTTCACTAAGATTGCCCACAAACAATTCTTATATGCACAAGGAAAGAACAATGTGATCTCTTAAAAAGAAGTGCAACAATGTTAACAAATTTGAGTGAAGATTGATACATGTGGAAACCACCATATACAGTATAGGAGCAGCTATAAAAGTGCTTGCCTAGAACAGTGCATGGAGAAATTTAAAAAAAAAGAAGAAAAAGTGAAACGCAATAAAGGCTAAGTTATGCAGTGAAAGTTGAATGCAGTTTCAAAGATCTGCAAATAATGAAGCGTATGGAAGTGACTGATAACGATGCATCCGTATCTTATCACAACTTTCATTGTTTCCAGATGGCTTTGTGACAAAGCGTAGAAGAATAAATAGTTGTAATCACCAAAAACATATAGATAATACTTGAAAAAGTTGCTGATAGGCAGAAGTATCAACTTGATAATTTAAAAGGCTTTCTGGTTTTTCACAGCAAAAATACTGAACTGCAACGATTACGCTGATAATGGAATGGCGCCGATATTTGCAATTCATAAGGCAAAAGGTCACACTATGAGAATTGTATAAGCCCTTTAAGTTCAAGTGAACTATACAGATTACTGGATGAGTCATCGAGTGTTATGAAGATCCTTAATTTCTACTATTGCAATGAAAGTGTACAAAGCACCAAGTCATGCGGGTGTGTGCATCAAACTTTACACTTTGGCGTACGCGGATAACCTCATTCAGAAATACCTGATTTTATCGGTTTGTGATTTTTTTCGGAATTTTCGCTCTAGAGCGTGAGCTCTGATTGGGAATTTACACATATGAAGATTCATCGAGCGTTTTTATCAATGCGCACTTTCGGCTTCATCTTGCTGGGAACTGGTATGTGGAGCAATTTGATAGCCAACTGCGAAGTTGATAACTATCCGCGGATGTATCGATTGGTTTTATTGGTTCATCGATTCTCCGCACTTCTGCACTAACTGCAGAACACTAATGAAATGTGATGGTTGTTCGTTTCATGTTGCCATGGGAAGGTACAGCAGTAGGATGAAATGGCCTCTGTGCCTCCTTCAAGATAGCGTTAAAAGGTGACATCAAACTTTCAAGTCTTTCGCACAAAAGCGCCTTTGATGGTTTTGAATATTACGAGAACTTTTTGCTAAAAAATTGTGAAAAACAAGAAAGTCGATTTTTTTATAGACGAACAGTACTGCTACTTCACATACCGAGAATTTGAAAGCTGAGCTCAGCCCTATTCAAAATCTGATTCAATTAATTCAAACTAAGAAAATTACGGAGTCAAACCAGCTGGTGGCAGCCGGGTATGCAACGCAATTTCAAAAAATGCAATTTCATTCTGGGACGTTTCTACTGTCTGCTCAGAAAAAAATCCAACAGCTAACACGATACGAAGAAATCAAATATATGTCCTGGGTTTGAAAGGTAAGATATATTAGTAAAAGATGTAGCAATCAAAAGGTTACTGTAACCCTAGTCTTGTCTCAAAACAGCATACGCTTTTCTTCAAGAGCGTGATCCTATTCATCATCAGCTAGCAATCTAAAACTGGACAAATCCCAATTCCCGTGGACTTCTTCCCCAACTGTAGAAAAACCAATTGCAAGATGATTGGAAGCACGGGAACGTCGTTCTGACAATCGAATTCACTTGACAAAGGATCAAAACCAGATGAGACACTTGAAATGCACTTGAGCTGAATGAAAAGTGCGCGAAACCGAAAATTCCCAAATTCCAGTTTGCGAACTTCAGTGAGAACATTCAAAATTGAAGCATTTATACCGTTTTCTAATTTACTAGAAAAA